CTAGCACGTTTTTAGTCACTATTTCTGGCATTATTGCGAGGTAACTCCGCTTGTGTTGTAACATATTTTCTATATTATCAGCTATCACATTTCCTTGCGCTACTTCCGACATCACCGAGAAATTAGAGTACTTGTTCTAACAAATTCCGGTTTTTGGAAGCTGTAATCTAAATCTGGCGTATTTGTAGGCCCTTTTAGACAAAGATAGGTTTGCAAGTACTATTGTTAGTGAACCATTTTTTAATAGAGAATAGATTAGAATGGGAATTCGTTAGGTTAAGACGAGTAAACTGTTTAGTTTAAATCGGCTTAACGCTAGTATTACCGGTATTACCAACTAGTTCCATCTTCAAGATTTATTTTTCATTCTCTACCAGGCAAAGTATCTGATTACACTTCTCTCTATAGTCCTGATATCTAAACGCAAAACTTAAAAAACAAAACATTTTCTCTCCTATAAAGACAGGTATGAATGGAACGTGTACTGTCTAATTCCACAGATAAAAGTACATAAACAGTTTATCTAAAAATATCCTATATATATTTTGACTCAACCATTTGAATAATAAGGATGAAACCACATCCAAACTAATGTTTCTACTGTAGGTTCTGAAACTACCAATATTAAGAGAAGGTCAAATTAAATATCTCTTCTTGAGAGACGCACCAAAGATGTTCAATGAAGAAGATGTAATAAACAAAAAGACATTTTCTCTAAAAGCTAACAAAACCACATCACAAAATTTTCCATCCTGTGTTACTTTTTCAGTGCTTATTGAATCTAAATCACGTGGTTTGAAAATGGAACATTTGTTCTCTTTTGCCTTAGCAACTTATACTGAAGTAGCTTCAAACAAATACAGTTATTTGTGCCACCTAAGGTAGGATTTGTGCCTGCAAAGTTCTTACTGAGCAATAACAACTCATATCGTAGGATTTATGCATACACAGGAATGACTACAACAGAATACACAAGCTTGCTTCCCTTCGACCACTTAATTCTGTAAAATCAGTTACGTGTTATTACCCAAACTTTGTTTTGAATTTTGCGCAAAGCTACACGAGGGCTATCTACGTTAGCCGTCCCTAATTTAGCAGTGTAAGACTAGAGGGAAGTCATCTAGTCAACACCATCCACCGCCTACTCTTGACCGTTACATTATAACGCCCCCACGGTTGAAAGGGCGAGCATGTTCGGTGGGACGAGGATTCGAACCCGCGACCTCAGATTGCGAGTCGAGCGCCCTAACCACCTGGCGATGCCGGGCCCTGAAATGAAGAAATTAAAATATTAGAAGATAGAAGCTTTCCAAAATGGTATGCTGCAGACCCAAAAATTAAAAGAAATCCGCGTTCCAGACACGAATAAAACAGACTAAAGTGACTGAGTTACGTTCAAGTGGGAAAAGGTAATACATGAAATTAAAAAAATAACCAAAGAAATTAGTAATTCATATGGACATTTCGAGTTTAAGCCTTTTTTCAGAATATTACAGTATCCGAATCTTTGTTCATGAGCACTGTGCTTGGTTCTTTAAAGAAAAACTTACTATTTACTTTAATTAAAGAAAGTACCTAAAAAAGCTTCTAGAAGTGATATACTGGCTGAGCGTGGCACAATGATTGTGATTAGTATGCCAAATTGCGGCTCTGTAGATCCTTTGTTTAGATCCAGTTACCGCAAAAAACAAAACAAAAAAAACACCAACTTTGGGATTGTGTGTTACTTGTAAGGATGACCGACAAATCCCACTATTCAGCGAGACAAGAATAGTTCAAGAGTTAGTGATGGACGCTGTTGACTAGTTGCCTTCCCTTTAGTTTATCAGTTTAAGATTCGAGATGGCTAGTGCAGAAAGCGATTGAGTAGCTTTGTAAGAATATCCGAGAAAGAAAACTATTAAGGTGATTTATATAGCCTTGTATAATCAGTAAGTTCAGTTTATGTGTATTAGTAATAAATATATTTTGTATTGTTATATGTGATTCATAAAGTAACGTTTACCGTGATTTTTAACCTTCCCAAATAAAATCTTTTCTTAACCAACAATTGTGATATTCGTTTCGAGACACCACGATAACGGTCTTGATAAACAGGAAAAAATTAACAGAACGTAGACATTACCTACGCTGAGTTTTCCATGTTGTTTTTACCATATTCAACTGCGTGAAATTTACGGCAACAATAGACATGAACATACTTCATATCAAGAAGTGGAATATTAAACAAAAAACAATGTTAACATTGAGCAACGTTCCATCCAAGGGGGAATGAAAAACGAAACTGTTTTCCATAGCCTCGAACTCTAAATCTTATTTATAGGATATTAGCATAAGTTGGAGTGGAGGACAGCGTTATGGGAACAAATTCGCTATTTTGGTATTAAACAAACATTTCCAAGTAATATTCCGACAGCTTCATTGGTAGATATATACATATATCTCAGTGATAATTCTTTGGCATAAGTCCACATAACACTTGCTGATTTATTCTATAAAAGCTATTCTCTTTGCAGACGTCGGGAGCGACTCAGAACTCATTCGTCATCAGGGTTTAAAAAGAAAGGTTTGATGTTTTTCTTTACTTACGTTATCATCAAACTGAATAACAAACAACACAATTCACGTTGTCCATAATATGAATTTGGTATATGCTCAATTAAAAAAGAAAAACTTTTTCAAAAGAATCTAAGTTCTTCTTTGGACTTTCAAAAACCGGTAACTATTAACATAATATTTAGTAATAGGAACAATATTAGTATGACACATATATATTTCACTCTACCCCTAAGCAATGTAACTGATATTCTTTTCAACAGTAAAACAAATCTATCAAAAGGATTCAGATCTGTTTTTCATGGATTTTCGTAAACCGTCTAAATGTTATTTTTATGTAACATTTGCAAAGTCCTTTATACAAAAACTTGTTTCCAAGATATTTATACAATCTTGCTATGATCTGAGCTTTATATATACATGTATGATGATACTGTTTTTCTTAGATAACCTATTTTACTATAATATGTTTGTGGTAATATTTGTTTTACGTTTTCCTTAATGAGTGCGCGTATTTTTGATATTGTAGGTTTTGAATGATAGATGTATTTTCCTGTAATGTGTGCATGTGTTGGGGCAATGTTGATTATTTACAAGAAAATTATATATATTTTGTTCGTAATATGTGTATGCGTGGTATTATTTGTTTGTTGAAGATAGTTATATTTCTGTGTAATTTGTAATCTGTAACCTGCCCATAGAATTGTTGGTTTTACACATTGTTGTATTTTTCGGTAATGTGTGGCCTGTCCATAGAATTGTTGGTTTTATACATTGTTGTATTTTTCGGTAATGTGTGGTCTGTGCGTGGAATTGTTGGTTTTACAAGAAAACTTTATTTTCTGAAATTTAATCTTTCTTCGAAATAGGTTATAAGTTGTGACACATATTTATAAATTACTTGTATATCTCAATATGAATCTTATATTAAAAGTACTAAAATTAAGCACGAAGTTCAATGTATTATTCGACTAGCGTATAGCCCGTCAAAAATGACGGGGCAAGTACTACCATCCACACCCTATAGTAGACCATAGCCTCATATTTCATTTTGTTTGTTTGACGTTGAACACAAAACCACACAATGGGCTATCTGTGCTCTGCCCACCACGGGTATCGAAACCCAGTTTCTAACGTTGTACGTCCGTAGACATACTGTTGTGCCACTGGGGGGGGGGGGGCTCACATTTCATAGCTAACTGAAATAAATCAATTTTGCAAAATCAAGCTTGCCAACAAACAGGCAGAAAAGTGCAGTTGAGGCAGTCAAACGTCGGTAAATTCGTTTGTGAACCAATAAAAATTAAGATAATTTATGAAAGGAATTCGTGGCGTATTCATGAAATAATTATTGGTAAACATCAGTTAGATTAACAACTTCTAATATATTGTTACGACACCGGAAGTCACGTGATGCTGCTGGCGCGTTTGGCGCTGGTAGCGTGCGTGGAGTTTCTCGAATGATCATGAATTTGCTCGGCAGCTCGAGTGTGATCTAGATGCCCTCTTTTTTAGTATATAAGCCTGGCAAAGAAAGCCAGCTGGATATATAGATGAATGTATGATAAAGCGAACAGTAGTCATGGTAAGTTTCGGGCGAAGTTATCGAGATGGTGAATTGCTGAAGTTTCTAGGAAAGAATTTCTATGGGAAATTAACAAACAAGCAGATACGTAACAATATATAAAAGCCAGTGCGTTTTGATAACACTACGTTCCAACAATGGCTTTTATGCCATGTCGCTTAGCAACAAAAGTATAATCTAATATTGTTGTTTGTCTATGTACTGAAAGTATAAAATGAAATGTATAGACAACAAAACTGGAAAAATGTGTTGATTAAAGAGGTTTGTTTTCTATTTAAAATGTTGTTTATATAACAGAAAATAGCTCAATTCAGAAATGATTTAAGTATAAAATTGAACCAAAATTATAATTTCTTGATAAATTTTATGCACTTGGCTCTAGGCTAGGTGATACCACACTACGTTTTTATTTTAGGTTTACTAACACTCACTACACTTATAAGGTTTTACGGCCCCTTCTCACGACCCCTTGCACTTCCGTCACTAGAATTGTAATAGACAGACAGTAATCGAACTATTCTATCTGGATAAATGTACTTTGGCTTTTATGACTTCTCCTATATCGAGAAATCAAGCGTGACGTGACGCATACAGGCTTTTATGTAGGTTATATTCACTACTTGTCATTGAGTGATATCAGTTTCGAGGAATTACAAACCTCTTTATAACTGATGAATTCTCCGAAACAGTGTTGTTTTAGGTTATATGCACCTGAACTTCACTTTTGAATACCGTGGAAGAATAATACATGTATATGTATATATATACATATACAGCTTTCAAACTATTGATTACATTAATAGTTAATAGGCTTTTGAATCAGCACTATAAACAAATAATGAACTAACTATCGCATTACCGTTATCGGTCCAGGTTGTTAACTCATTGTCATAGTGGATAATGCCTCTGGTAATAGCACACAAATGCGTGGGGAGTATCCCATCTATCAGACAAAATCCAAACGCTGATGTTAATCTAGTCAGCCGTCATATATACACATAAAAGGTATACAGATCCTGTTTAAAAATAATCAAACCTAAAAAGATTCTGGAAAACTGTTCTAAATCATGAAATAGAAACATTCATAACTCTAGTAATGTATATATATATATATTTATATATACGAAGTTTAAAATAAGTTAATTTGGTAAAATATTATATATTCATTTACCACATGATTTATTTTAACGTGAAAACTATTCAGTTAGAACCAGAAAACCTAATTTGATGTCAAAAGTTTATAAATAATTTCTAGAGACATAGGTTTTCATTAATTAGCAGTTGATACAATTTTTCACCAGTAACACTTGTAGCTAATATAAACATAGGATAATATAACAGTTTTGGGGGCATTTATAGTCGGGATAGAATCAATACCAACAATCATAATAATACGGCTATAACATAAACTTAGTTTATACATATCTCAAATACACACAAAGTAATAAAGTATAATTTGCTAAAATGTTTAGGTAACGGGAGATCAGTATCATTGTTACTCCTGGATTAGTCAGTGGTCTGACTAGGATTAACATTATTAAGTCAGATTGGAGAAGACGGTAGTTCTATTGAAATATGAATAATAACCTTGTTGTACAGTTCTAGTAGGAAGATTCGATAATAATAAAGACTACTAGTTACTTTTATGATTATAAAAATCGTGGCATGATCAGTTTGTTTTATCAGGAACCAATAATTGAGAAACATATTTAACAGTCTTTGTTATCTGATTATAAAATTGAAAACTTATCAGAGATAATAGAAAAAAGTTGTCCTTTCACTCCAGATTTCAATAACGTGATTAATTATCCATCTAGGCTGTCGAAAATTCCGATCTTACTGACTATACAATAAATTCGAATCAATAAAAACAAGATCCAGCAAGGAAGAAGTCTGTAAACTAGCTATTATATCTCTAAAAAGTTTGACTCCTTGTAAGACCCTCTCCCCATCCCCACCATGAGTAGAAAGAAGGTAAAAGTCAAATTTCAATGTCTAGTGTAACTGGAAGAGGAATGCACAATAAGTGGTCTTGATTTTTAAAGCGATAACATGTAATAGCATGAGTAAGTACAGAATTAGTAGGTAATGTGTAACAACATGGGTAAGTAGAGAATTAGTAAATAACGTGTAATAGCATGAGTAAGTAGAGAATTAGTAGGTAATGTGTAACAGCATGGGTAAGTAGAGAATTAGTAGATAACGTGTAATAGCATGAGTAAGTAGAGAATTAGTAGATAACGTGTAATAGCATGAGTAAGTAGAGAATTAGTAGGATGATGTATAATAGCATCAGCAAGTACACACATAGTAAATAACGTATAATGGCATCAGTAAGTACACACGTAGTAGATGATGTATAATAGCATCACCAAGTTCACTCGTAGTTAACGTATAATGGCATCAGCAAGTACACACATAGTAGATGATGTATAATACCATCAGTAAGCACATACGTAGTAGATAAAGCATGGTTTTGAGTTAACTGTTGCGGGTAAAATACTCACAAACTACTAATTTATTTTATGGTCAATCGAAAATAAGCTAAGACCACCTTTATTAAAAGACCAAGAAAGACGATTAGCTTCTATACTCTATAGGATGTACTTTTATTGAGACAAACTTTACTACCATAACTGGAAAATACTTAACAAGATCATATGGAGAATTTATAAGTTTTAGATTATATCAAGCAGTACTAGCCACAGCTTCAGTTTTATATTATATCAAGCAGTACTATCCACAGCTTCAGTTTTAGATTATATCAAGCAGTACTAGCCACAGCTTCAGTTTTATATTATATCAAGCAATACTAGCCACAACTTCAGTTTTATATTATATCAAGCAGTACAAGCCACAGCTTCAGTTTTAGATTATGTCAAGCAGTACTAGCCACAGCTTCAGTTTTAGATTATATCAAGCAGTACTAGCCACAGCTTCAGTTTTAGATTATATCAAGCAGTACAAGCCACAGCTTCACTAAGCACCAATGACCTACCACGAATAAAAGTGTAAGAATGCAGTCGCTTTCATAACTTCGAAATTAAAAAAAATAATCAGCTTTTTTGTTCTAACAAGATAGAATTACCAAGAAAAATACCTGCAAATTGGATTCCAGTAATGTTCCAATTAAAATCCAAACGGCAATCTACATAGTTTCTTCATGCTCCAGCCCATAGACCATTGTTTTAAATTATTAAACTTCGATTCTGATATAAGAATAAAATGTCTTAAATTAAAATATTTTAGTGACTTTTCAGTTGTCATTAGACTGTTAGTGAATTGATTGCAAAAAAATGTTGGTAGATTAAAAACAGATTTTTCGTTACGTTTGTAGCTTTTAAATGAGTTTCTATTTTATTCCGATTTTTTCCTAGGCTTGTTATTTAATGTATTTAAAATTAGCTGCAATTTAATCGCACTTGGTTTCCCACCAGGTTATGAGTTGAATAGAAACTCAAGCTGAAACATCATTTGCCTGGTACTTATATCAAAGTTATGTATCTGCAAACACTGATTCGGTTTGGTTGCATGACGTAAAGTCAAATCATTTGCCGTTTCAGATAATTATACAAAAAATAAGGTGAATTTTGAACTTTTACACATTTTTCAAAAAATAAATAAAACAGTTTTCTGACGTAACATTTAAGCCTTTTTTTCATCCGTGTTTTTGCTGAATTCCCAGCAATTAAGATTTTTCTTGAGCTACGTTTGTATACAATATAGAATTTAAAACTTATGGATAAAATTAAATGTAATATATTTGTGATCAAAATTATTCTACGTTATTCAATTAAATAGTTCCATGTGTTTAAATATAAATCTTCAATTTTGTTTTAAGGTACTATATGACCTTTAGTCAGTACATTATAATTGGATAAAGAAAGGAGTTTGAATATTTTATGTAAATGTTTACCTTAAGCAAGAAAACTGATCTTTTCAGGAGATGTAGAGACCAGTGTGTGTGTTTTTGCGGTGAATTTTGGTTTTAAACTGTGTGTCAGATCTAATAATTCTGAGGTTAAGAAAGGATAACTGTTTATTGTTTTCGTGTTCTATGGTAAATTTGATGTTGGGATGAATGGAATTTATGTGTTTAAAGAAAGTTAGTGTGTGTTCTGTAGAAGTGAAACCATCAAAAGTGTCATCGACATATCTGTACCAGTATAGTGGTGGATGAAGCGCAGAATGTATGGTTTTTGTTTCGATCTGGGTCATGAATATATTGGCAAGAACGGGCGAAACAGGACTGCCCATACTTAAACCAACTATTTGAAGGAAATGTTCTTTGTTGAAAATGAAGTTGGTTTTAGTCGTTGTAAATTCTAAGAGAGAAGCAAAAAGTGTGATGGGGATGTGCATTAACTTGTTGGGATCATTAATGTAGAGGTTTAGTGCAATATTGCAAGCTTCATTGGCGGGGACTTCGGTGAAGAGTGACACGACATCAAAACTAGTCATTAAGG